TATATGTTAGGTCTGCATATTCTGGCCTGCAAGTTTTTATGGAGTGTGCATTTGAGCTGGTGGCGTGCGCTGCTCCCGGCTGGAGATGCTATCAGTCGTGTGGCCTTTTCTGGCACATTGCTAAACTCCAAGGATCAAAGTCCAATCTGTCTGGAGAGAGACACTTGTGGCTAATGAAAAGCTAGCATGCGCCACCTTGAACAGGGAACAACGTCAGCTCTGGAAGCTGCTAACAGAATCCAGTCCAATTCCATTCATTCCCCCACAATGAAGCATGCCTGGCCGGTCACACCGTAGGGCTAAAGATCAACATCAAAGCAGGTGTGATGCAGAAGGTCTGCAATCAGATTCCAAACATTTCTTCCTTTTTTCCAAAATAATTCTCTTTTTCTTTTTGGAGCCGACATGCTTATAACTTTATTGAACAATGATTGTGCAAACTTCAACTGCACTCCACAGGAAAGGTTAAGTGGCTGAAGGTATTGATCATAGCTGGATTCTGAAAATGTTTATTGAGGGTGTTCAAGAGATAGTTTGAGGGATGGCAAGAAAAATTGATGACGTATGCAGAACTGGCTAAATTGACAAGCAAACTGCAGGACAAGGACAACTGTGACTTTAATGAAGATTGGGAGCTTTTTACTTTTTCAAATAGTTTCATATATTTACTCCAGTCTTCTAAGAATCGCTGGCCTCACAGGTTTCGAATCCTTCCTGTTAATTTATCTAATTCTGCATAGTCCATCAACTTCATCCTCCATTCTTCTTTCGTCGGTAGTTCTTCTTGCATCCATTTTTGTGCCAATAATATTCTTGCTGCTGTTGCTGCATATAAAAACTTTACAATCCTGTCTATTAATATCATCTCCTTTTCCAAAATATTCTGAAGCATACGGGGTCTTGGTCACAGCAGTGTCGCTGGAGTGGGTGGGAACCAACCATTTCTGCCCATGCCCTGATTATTAACATTGTCTTTTGTTATATAGTGATTGATGCTTTGCTTTTTCCCCTGACAGAGACGTGTGGCTCAGGCGCGCTGCAGACCCTGTGGTGAGTGCTGCCCGGCATTTTGTCACCCCCCTCAGTGGTGACACCCGGGGCGGATTGCCCCTGTCAGGGGCTCAGGAGCAGAGGCACAGGAAAGGGAGGAAATAGAGAGCGAGGGAGAGGAATCCGAAGGAAATGTTAGCGATGACAGCGGCCCGAGGTCTCTGAGTCTTTCCAGCGAATCGGAAGAATTCACAGAAAGGGGCTCCCATGGTCAGAGCAAGGGGGGTGCCTAGGGGGACACCCCAGGAAGAAGGGGCCAGAGGGGACTCAGAGAGCAGCAGTTGAAATCAGGACCAGCTTCCCCACCAGAGCGCAGTAGGGGGAGGAGTCCCAGGTATCGGGATCAGGCGGCTCACCGCCAGCGGGAAGAGAGGAGTCAGGATTGGCCACGCCTCCATCGGAGAGCGAGGAAACGGTCAAGAGGAAGGTTGGAGGCTGGGCGCGCGCGCCAAGTTCAAATGTACAGGAGGGCGGCGCAGTTGGCAGCCCGGATAGGGAGCCAGGTCCTAAAGCCCGCAGAAAGGAGGGACAGGAGTCAGGGGGTCAGCGTCAGAAGAGTCCAGAAAGGAGGAGACCCCGGGGGGCAGAAGGACCCAGAGGAGAAAGGAGAGACGGAAGAGGTGGAGTAAGGTTAGAGTCTTAAACTGGTGTACAGGGGTGGAGACTCAGACGGAGCTTCACCGGTCTAGCTTCTCAGACGTAGAGCTGCGCGCTGCGGCTTGAAAATGGAAACTGTACTTCAATAAAGACTTTTGTACATTACTAGCGGCTAGCGCGGTCCTCTGTGAGCTGGGACCTGGAGGCAGCTCTGACACCCCCCCTTCCTCCGCCCCGGGGGGAAAACCCAAACATTAAAAAACAGCTAAACATTAATAGAATTAAAACTATATATAACACAAAAGGTCCTGTAATATACAATACAGTGGTACCTCGGGTTACAGGTGCTTCAGGTTACAGACTCCGCTAACCCAGAAAAAGTACCTCAGGTTAAGAATTTTGCTTCAGGATAAGAACAGAAATTGGGCGGCGGCGGTGCTTCAGGTTAAGAACAGTTTCAGGGTTAAGAACTGACCTCCGGAACGAATTAAGTTCTTAACCTGAGGTACCACTGTATGTAATCAGGGATGAGTGAATCTTTCCGACTTTTCAGTCTTGAGTTCATTTGTGTGCATTTCCATGCGATCTTTTTTTTAAGTCCTCATGAAATACATCAACCTTTTAGTGTCAGTTTCTCCCACTGTGCATTAATATATTTTTTTGCATGTTGTTTTTACAACTGCATGCATTTTATGCACCGTTTGCCCTGGTATATTTGTTTGTGCACATCCCTGGGCTGGCAAACAGCATTGCAACAGTCAGGAAAGTGCGAATTCCGGAGGCTGGCTCCAGCCTTTCTGTTTGTGCATTGTCTTGGAAAGCGCGGATTCTATAGGTTTGCCTTTAACTAAGGAATTAATGGAAGCTCTTCCCTGCCTCTGTTCGTCACGCTTGCAGCGCTTGGTGATGCCACCTCAGAGTTAAACTGCTGCTGATTCTTATCTAGAACAAATGACATCAAACTGGAAGCTGAAAAATAACGTATTTTCAGGCTTAATGGATAGAAATGTATTTTGCAGATAGCAGCCAAACAACCTGTAGAACTTGGGGGAGGAAACTTGATTAAAAAACCCCTGACTTTC